CCCACACCCACACCCACACCCACACCCACACCCACACCCACACCCACACCTACACCCACACCCACACCCACACCCACACCCACACCCACACCCACACCCACACCCTCGTTGTAAAAACTGATCGTATAGAATTTTCCTTTCTCTCAAAACAATTTCAATAAACCTTACTATGTAGATTGTAGAGCTTTTCACGCTGCATCTTCTGGTGTATTTTGTTTTTCTTTTGATAAAGCATATTAGGTGATAAAATGAGCAACAATAAAAAATGAATTCGTCGCGTATCAAAAACATTATCTTTTTCATGGTTGAAATTTGGTTGCTGAAAATTTAGTCTATTTTAAGAACAAAATGTGCAACTAGAAAATAAATGGTCTTTTGGAAATTATAGAGCTTTTCACGCTGCATCTTATGGCATATTTTGATTGTTAATACAACTAACAAGGAAATGAAAACTGCGATGTACAACTTACAACGAGCAGACATGTTAAAGAAAAAAGTCTTATGAAAAATTTATTATCATCATATTAGTTAAAGTATGATCAAATAGCATAGAAAAATAGAGCTTTCTTTTCTCTATCAGACTGTATAGAAAAAAAGTTCATCAGAACTTTCTATAAGAAATTAATATACCTCCGCAACTACTTTTGCACTGACCTAAGTAATTTAATCTAATTTTCATTGATATTTTAACGAGTTTTTAATTACTTTTTCAATATTTTACACTATACACTAGTGACATCTGTCGAAAAATTTGCCGCTCGCATCGCTGCAAAGCGGCGATGCTCGCGCGTTGCTGAAACTACCAAGCGACCAACATGTAAAACGTTTTGAAGTCCTAAAACGTGTTTGTTTTATTCTCTTTGTTACAATTTAGTTGAAGATAAAATAAAATAAAATACAAATCCGTAAACAATTAATGACGTTCACACAAGCACAAATCACACTATATTGCACCAGTTTTTCTCACTTCGAAGCAAACGCTGCGACTCGCTCAGCTCATCGAAGATCACATGCCAAACGAACATTCCTGAAAAGACTTCTGTTCACCTCTTTTGCTCACTTCGAAGCAAACGTTGCGACTCGCTCAGCTCATCGAAGATCACATGCCAAACGAACATTCCTGATAAGACTTCTGTTCACCTCTTTTGCTCACTTCAAAGCAAACGTTGCGACTCGCTCAGCTCATCGAAGATCACATGCCAAACGAACATTCATCAACATACTTCTGTTCACCTCTTTTGCTCACTTCGAAGCAAACGTTGGGACTCGCTCCGCTCATCGAAGATCACATGCCAAACGAACATTCCTGATAAGGCTTCTGTGCACCTCTTTTGCTCACTTCGAAGCAAACGTTGCGACTCGCTTAGCTCATCGAAGATCACATGCCAAACGAACATTCCTGATAAGGCTTCTGTTCACCTCTTTTGCTCACTTCGAAGCAAACGTTGCGACTCGCTCAGCTCATCGAAGATTACATGCCAAACGAACATTCCTGATTAGACTTCTGTTCACCTCTTTTGCTCATTTCGAAGCAAACGTTGCGACTCGCTCAGCTGATCGAAGATCACATGCCAAACGAA